ATCAAACTCGTAGAAACAAAGTAGAATGGTGGTTGCTGGGGCTGGAGAAAGGAAGAAACAGGGAGTTGTTCAACAGGCATAGTTTCAGTCATGCCAGGTGAAAACATTTTAGAGACCTGTCGTACAACAATGTGCATAGAGTTAACAATACAGTAATGTACACTTAAAAATTGTTATGAGAATAAATTTACCTTACGTATTTTTTTTACCACAATATAATAAATTTTAAAAGTGGGCCTAAGAGATGGCAGATTTGCAAGTATATTGTGTATTTTTACCTTGGAATCATATGGTTCAGCTTAACGACTTAATAGCTGTGCAACTTTTGGTAAAATGCTTCCTCTCTCTGGGCCTGATCCTTAAAATGGGGACAATAACACATCTATCTTAAAGAGCATCCAGAGAGATAAAGGATATAAAGTATTTGGAAAGGACAATGGTTAAGACCACAGACTCTAGATTCAGTTCAAATCCTGCCTCTGTCCTGTCCTAGCTTCATGACCACCATCAATGACATCACTCTCTGAGCCTCAAGCCCTTACCCTATAAATGATGCTGATGATGTTCCAAGCATGTACCTCCCCAGAGTGGTATGAGATTCAATGATTAACCTGTGTAAAGTGCTTAGTACAATTCAAGGAATTCACCATCGACAGCTCTAAAAAGCTGTATCTACAGGAAATCCAATCGTCTGATTAGATCAGATGAAACATTTCTCAAAATAGTATGTCACTGTCACTGCCACTGCTCTTACTAAGTTCACCCCAGCTTGAAGCAACCTATATCAGGCTTCCAGATATATCATTAACCCTAAAAGCTTCTGGGAACCAGTCACATGTTTCTAACGGCAGCTGGGTACAATTGGCAAAATGCTACCAGTCAATTCTTGCCCAAGACAATTAATTTAACCTCTATGAGCCTCTGTTTACACATCTGTAAAAAAGTAATAGTAATAATATTACCTACCTCATAGTTATTATAAGGATTAAATAGAAAATGCCTGGTCCATAATAAGAGCCTAGTGAATGTTAGCTACTGAATCTTCTCTTACCCCAGAGCCAAAGGTGACACCTCTGCTTCCCGTTACACAACATACCACACTGCATTAAATGGCAGTTGATTGCTATTTCCTGCTGGGTTAGTAATTCCTTGGGTGTAAGGCTTCTGGTATTTCAACAATATGCATGGCAGGACCTCCTCCACAGGAAACACTCAAGAAATAATGACTAAATAGATATTCACACACACACACACGCACACACGCACACACAGAGTTACTCTGTCCCTCATCTTCACTCACACTGTCTTTCACTTCCAAACACTCGCACGCCAGCCTCAGCCACTCCCAGCCTTTAGATTCCCTGGGGACACTAAAACACCACAGTTTAATCATCTCCCTTCTGTGAGCACAAGTTTTCTCATCAGTAAAATGGGAATCATATCAACATTAACTTCATAGGATGGCTCTGAAGTTGAAGGCAGATAAAACTCTAAAGTGCTTTACACACAGTAGGTGTTCAGTTAATGAGTTACCTCTGATTCTGACCTTCCCTGTTGCTTGACATTTGTGCCCTGGCCTGGCCATGCTGCCCACACTGTTGAAAGATTCCCCTCATGGAGTGGTTTTATTACCATTTCTCCAAGAAGAAGAGAGATTTGAGGGGCAAGTTAAGGGAGCAAGTGTCTTGACCTCTGGTGAACTCTGCACTAGGCTCCCCGGATTCCAGTACAAGGAGTCTAGCATCATGCTGGGTACATTTATTGGTGGATGAATGGAGCTCCTTGTCTGGGGAGAGGTCAGGGATGGGGTCTAAGGCCCCAGAGATGGGGGTAGCCTAGGTACCAGAGTTTCCCAATTTTCCTTCTAACTGGATCCACCCTGACCCCAGGTATATGTATTACATTAATGAGCCTCAGTATCTTCTCAGCAGGCCTAAGATATCCCTGGGGAGTTGGGGGACCCCAGAGCCTAGCCTAGGTCTGTCCTGGCTCCCAGTTACATAGATGGTATCAGTCTGTGAGTTAGCCTCCTCACTTCCTTGTTTCCTGGAAGTTAGGCAGGGCAAGAAAGAAAGAGTGGCCCTTCCTCCTCTGGGCTTCCTCAGCCCTGGGCACACCCCTCTGTGATACCAGGAACCACACCGACATCTTCCCAGCCTGGGAGCTCCTGAGTCCTGCCAGTACCCTCGTGGGTAGCTGGGGCCTGGCCCAAGAAGGGTCACCAGGTCCAGACCTGCACCTGGCTCTGCTCTTTCCTAGCCGATGTTTGAGTCCTAAAAGCCTCCCTTTCTTAATTTGCAAAATGGTGATAATAAAACCTTCTGCATCATGTAGGTAGGTGGTAAGAGCGGAATGAAACAATTTACGCACATAGTGGTTATTACTCAATAGCTGTGGGTTTCTCTCCCTTTCCCCAACTTCAGAAAAATGTTTGTTGCATGAATGAGTGAATAAATAAGCAAACAAATCAGCCATGCACCAAACCAGCCAAGTCACCTCCTTTGGAAGCAGCCACCAGGGGTGACTGAAGAGAAACCACAGGAATCAGAGTCAGGGGATCTGGGCTCTGGCCTCGGCAGGGCCACCTACCATCTTGAGTGAGTCTCTTTACTCAAGCTCTGAGCCTTGGGACCTTTATCTGCAAAATAGGGTGCTACGCTCACCGCAAGCATTGCTGTGAAAAAGAAGTAAGGTTTGGGAAGTGAAAAAGAGTTTGGCAAACAGTAAAGCACTTGGTAAATTGAAATAGATTTCATAAACTGTAAAGGAATCCAAACAAATCTTTGACATGCTTCTCCCATTAGCCAGCTGAGCTCAACTCCAAACTCGGGACCTGAAGTTTCCCCTCCTGTAGAACTAGCGGGGTGGAGAGAGGCTGCTGAGTGGCAGTCCTCCCCACCCCATTCTCTCTCTCTCTTTTACACACACACACACACACACACACACACACACACACACACACACACACACACACACACCCTGGCTCTGGATTCCCTTTAGCTAAGACACAAGAGAAGAAAGAACAGATAGATGTATATCAGCCTCTCAGCTGATTATGTTGATGATCCTGCTTCTAGGAACTGCTAGGCTGTACCAGGCCCACCTGTAGGTTGAACATGCTCCAGGCGCATGTAGATATAGCCAGAGCCATCTTCCCAGTGCATCCCATACAACCACAGACACACATGCGTATACCAGAAGCTTCTCTCCCATCCCACCATGCTGCCAAGGAACCTAATAGTGGCTGATGAAAGAGGTGGCTGTGCTAGCAGCCCAGCATTTGCCTTCTGGGAACTGGCTCCACTCCTAACCAGATACACTCCCCCCAGGACGTGGTCCCAGGCTATGGCTGAACTGCTGCACCCTCCTCAGCCCACCCATAAGGAAAAGAGGGGGAGCCAGTGTGAGAAAGGAAGAGTTGCCACAGAAAAAGAAGACCACCCCCTTCTCCTCAACAAGGCCTTGTTCACAGGCCTGGAGAGGAGGAGGTCTCTCTGTAAAGGTCTCCCTATAAAAAACAGGATACAGCCTCTCATCAAACCCCTACCCCACCCCAATACCAATCGGGAGGGGAAATCCAGTCCTGGAGGCACATTTCGTCATTAATGCCATAGACTGTGAATCCTTTACCCAAACCTTCTTTGGACAGATGGGGAAATTGAAGCCCAGAAAAGAGAAAGAATTTGCCCAAGATGACAACAATGTCAGGGGCAGAGCTGGGACCAAATGCTGGGCCTCTGGTTCACTGCCCGTTCTCTTCCAAGTGCAACATACTTTATTGTTTATCCATTCAATTCATACTCTAAGATTAGACTACATGCCCAACTCCGTGCTAAAGGTAAGGAGAAAACAATGAACAAAACAAATACCCCATCCTTAAGGCATTTACAGTAAGAAGTACAGGGTCAGTATTAATAGTAACACATTGGTTCACATTTGTATATCATGTTACGATTAACAAAGCACTTTCCCACCCAACTCTTACTTCACAAACACACAAGGTCAGTGCTTTAAACACCAATTGGCAAAAGAAGAAAATGAGGCTCCTGCATTGCCCAAGATCCCAACTTGTAAACAGGAGCTGAAATCAAAACCCTGGTGCCTTGATCAGGCCCAGGGCCATTTCTTTTCCTCCAGAGTGGACTTCTGTCCTTGGCTGAGTTTTTAGTACCTAAAGGCTGGGACATCTCTTTCATTTGCTTCCCCAGCACCTCCTTCAGACATGACACTGACACACACACACACACACACACACACACACACACACACACACACACACACACACACACACACGGAACACAGCTGTGTATCCAGTGAGAGATTGCTGCTTCCCCCATTCTTCCCAGGTGAGCGAGTATGTGAACAGCAGCCCCAGTTCACCAAGCCCATCTAATCGGCCAGAGAAAAATGGGGGACATTGGGGGGTCCCAGCCTGTTCCTGTCCTTACCACCTGGGACCTAATGGGAGAAACTGGTTGTGGGTCAGGCTCTTCGTACCAGTCGCCTGGTTATCTTCATCATCCCCCAGGAAAACCTAACATCTGGAGAGTTCCTAAGTACCCAGCCCTGTACCAGATCCTTTACCTCTCCCAACAATCGTTCCAGAGAAATGGCATCATCCTCATTTGATAATTTAGGAAACTGAAGTGCAGAGAGGGGGTGCAACTTGGCCAAGGCCACACAGCTAGTAAAGAAGATGGCATTCGGCTCCCTGATATCAAGGTAGCCCCGCTCTCATCACCATGGTTACCTCCTGGCGAGGTCACTCCAGCACTACCTTTGCCTCAGAGAATCAAAGAGGGGAGCTAGATTCTCTGGGAAAGTTAGATCACAAGGAATTCTTTGTAAATGTGAGACTCGAGGCCTGAGGAAGATGACAAAAGAGTCCCTTAAAAACAGAATCATCATTTGCTTAGGCGCAGTCTAGGGGCATGACCTCTCTCCCGAACACATGTTTATATGCCTGCCCTTTGCCCAGCAGAGCTGGGACCCCCACTTACCTGTACCAGGAGTAGCAGCTGCAGCTGCAGGATATGAGTATCTCTGTCTGCAGACCCAGCCTCTGTGCTGTCTGGAAATTGCAGAAGTGAGGAAACAAAACACGCCACTGCCCAGTCACCCCCAGGAGGAAATGCTGTGACCCTAAGGCCCCTCCAATAGATACCACAGGAGCCTCCAAGTTGGGTCACCCAGGCCCGGGGCACTGCTCAGAGGTTTCTCACAGAGCAAGGGGCAGCATGGGGTGGGGACAGTGGCCACCATGCCAGGGAACTGGGGCGAGACACAAAAAATGCAAGAGAAAGCAAAAGATGAGAGAGCACGCACTCAAGAGAGAGAAACTGGTCACTCACATCTGTGAGTGAGTGACCAAGAAAACAGAGTAAGAGAGGGAGTCAGGATAAAATGGGAGATGGGGGAGAAAGACAGACGGATGTAAACACCGAGAGAGCGCATGAGAGGAATGAGGAGAAACAAGGACAAAAGCTAAGAGAGTTAAAAGAGAAAAAGATGAGACAGACAGTGAGTATGTGCGTGCGTGTGTGTGTGTGTGTGTGCGCGCGCGTATCTGTGTGTCTGTACAGGCATGAGGGCATGAAAGAAAAAATGAAAGAAAGGGATGAGAAGGAGAAAAAGGAAAGACAGCTAGAATATAAAAAGGTTGAGAAGGGAGGAGCTCAGAAGAGCTGCTGTGGTCAGAGACATAACTGGGCAGGGCATCCCTGGTGACACAGAGCACAGTGAACTGCTGGGGACAGGGCGCTGCGGGCTGAAGGGAGGGAGGAAGTATCATAGGACCCCGAACAGAAGTTTAGCAGTAAGGAAGACAGTGGGAGTGGGTGAGAGTAAACAGGCGTGGGAGACTCGGACGGTGAACAGAAGTGAGTTTGGGAGTGTGTGTGAGTGTGTAAAAGTCAGGTAGGTGGAGGCTTTGTGTGTACATAACTAAGGGATGAGCCGGAGCTCCCTATTTCGGTTTCTAGTCCATTTACACACTTGTTTATTCAACAAACATTTATTGAGCAACCCAGGCACCAGACACTGTAGTGGACACTAAGAAGCAAGTCCCTCAGAAATCAGTCAATCCAGCACTCTCTACACAGAGAGGGAAACAGGTTTAGACAAGACCAGGTCCCACAGCAAGGCGAGTGCAAAGCAGAGCCAGGAGTGCAGGCTCCTGACTCTCCACGGAGAGTCCAGCCTCAGCTTCATCCTGGTGTCTGGGCTAGCCTCCTCCTACTGATTGGGACCTCACTGATGTCCCTTATCAAAAAAAAAAAAAAAAGATCCCAAAGGACAAGCCACCTTTACATATGCCTCAGCCCTAAGAACTAGAACTCTCCCCAGCTCTGCCCCCATCACCCACAGGCAGACACTCTCAAACCACTTATGCATATTACCCCTTCAGGCTCATGTACTTTCAATATACAGTATCATGCAAAGAAATCCCCTCACAATGACATCCCTCCATTCACATGCACACTCAGGTGCCCGTATCTATCATCACCTCACACCTGCCCAAGTCACTTCCTTCCTCATGCTCACTCAACCACACTGCTCTACACTCCCCCGCCAACCACACTCTGCTTAAATCCCAAGATGTGGCCCGGAACTCTTGTTAAAGACTTCAAAAAGGCCCGGTGCTCATCCCTCCTCATCTCCCTCAGAGGCCGTTTGAGCCTTGAGTGCACTGAAACACAAGAGGACATGGTCTGTTCGTGGTGGTTAACCTGCATGCAAATTGTCTACCCGAAAGTCAAGACCATTGCTCTGATCCCCAGCCCAGATCCTCTTTCCCAAAACTGGCTTCACCTTCTCAGCTGTCCTCCAGGCAGAACCTTAAACCAAGGAGGGACCTCTGAGGTCAACCAGCCTCCAAGTGGCCATAGTCTCTGGGACACCTGGCTCAAATGCAGAACTGTTCAGCTCAGCCTGTTTTTTAACAGTCCCTTATGTGTGTTCATGTAGCAGTTGCACTGCAGTACCTCTTTTGAGATTATCAATAAGCAGAGTAGGTAGGCAGAGATTATTATCAACATTTTACAAATGAGCAAACTGAGGTTAACTCCTCCTTGCTCTCATACCCACATCCATTCTGTTAGCAAATTCTGTCAGTTCTACTTTAAAATATATTCAACTCTGAATCTAATCAAGTCTTTAGATCTAACTTTCAGTTTGTAGGAAACATGGGGGACAAAGGAGCAAATTAAAGGACCTTGCAAGGAACAATCAGCCAAATCCAGAATGTGGGACAAGGACGTTCTACACGACAATTGATCTGGTTCCTGCAACAGGCCAACCATATGGGGAAAAAATGGGGAAGAGTCTGTTCTAGATTGAAAGGGACTTAAGGGATATAAAAATCAAATACAACTTGTGACTCTTGTTTAGAACCTAGATCATTCGAATCAACTATGTCAAAATTAAATTAAATCAAATATGTCAAAAAAAAAACAAACAAAAAACCCCAGTATATCAGTTAGGGTCCTGGAAAGAGATAACACACTTAAAGTGGACAATCTGTGGCTGAAGGGACTACTCAAAGAGATGCAGGCAGGACTGGAGAATCAAAAGGAATAGTGCAGGACTCCAAGGCTACCAAGAGTGGGAAGCCCTTACCATCTGAAGGGCTGAGGAGAGGGAGCGTTACTGGGATCCAAAGAAAGTAGCCATTTGGAGAGCGCTGCCTGATGGGAGCTGAGACCTTGGGTAGAAAGTTGCAGCTGATCCTCAATGACTTGGCAGTGAGGGAACCAGAAAACAAATACCCAAACTTCTCTCTTCTTTCAACTTCTGATTTCTTACCAGTGCCTCCCATTGGCTGAGCCCAACTAGAAACAATGGGAGATGGATAATGTATTCCATACAGATCAGCCTTCAGGGGCACAAGATAGGGCAGAAAAGGGTGGAGAGTGGATCTGGAGAGGAAAACAGAAGATACCAGGATAGACATATTTGAGAAAATTAGGGAGAATTTAATATGGGTGAGATTTTAGATGATTCTAAGGAATCATTATTAGTTTTATTACGTGATCATGGTGTGTGGTTTATAGAAGAAAATGTCTATATAGAGAGACAATTTAGAGAGAGGAAAGAAAGGAAGGAAGGGAGGGAAGGAGAGAGGGAGGGAGGAAGGGAGGCAAAAAATTAAATATGGGAATTGTACTAGGCCAAATAATGGCCCTCAAAGATATCAGGTCCTGATCTCTAGAACCTGTACACGTTACCTTAATGGCAAAGATTTTGCAGGTATGATTAAATTAATGCTCTTGAGATTGGGAGTTTATTCTGGATTACCTATATGAGACTTAATAATCACAAATATTTGTATAAGAGAGAAGCCAAGGGAAATTTGATTACAGACAGAAATGGAGAAGGCGATATCGCCACAAAGGCAGAGTGACAAGGCCACAAGCCAGGAATACCAGCAGCCACCAGAATCTAGAAGAGGCAAGGAATGGATTCTGCCCTAGAGCCTCTGGAGGGAACATGGCCCCGCTGTCTCCTTGTCCGTTGATACTGATTTTGGACTTCTGGCCTCCAGAACTGTAAGAGAATGAATGTGTGTTGTTTTAAAGCACCAAATCTGTAGTAATTTGTTACAGCAGCTATAAGAAACTAATACAGGTATATAAGGATTTATTATACTCTTCTCTCTTTTTGTGTATGTTTGAAAACTTTTCTAGTAAAGTTGTAGTAAAGTGTTTGTGCATGCCCAATTCACAACCCTACTTATGAAACAGTCTTGCCAAGGAAATAGAAACAGAATCCGCAAGTTTACAGGAAACATAGAAGAGGAACAGATCATAGGAATGTACTCAGCAAACTCAGTACATAGTGAATAATGGATGTGCCAAACAAACAACAAATAAATGATAAGGGAGAACCTATAGATTAAATGAGAAGTAAGAGACATAGCAGTGAATTGCTACCTATGAGCCTTTTTTGGATCCTGATTCAAACAAACTGTAGGAAGAAAGAGAAAGGGGGGTAGAGGGAGAAGGTTGGTAGAAGGGAGGGAGGGAAGGAGGGACTTAGGAGATAATTAGAAATTTGAACATTTATTGGATATTCAATTTATTAAGAAGTTAATGTTAATTGTTAGGTTAATGGTTTAACAGTTATGTTCAAAAAGAATTCTCTTTTAGGGATACATACAAAATATTTACAGATAAAATTATATATTTAGGATTTGCTTCAAAATAACATGGGACATACCTCAATTGAAAAAATGGGTTAATAATTGTCGAAGTTGTCTGATGGCACATAGGGATCCATTATACTCTTAAGTGCACTCTTGTATGTGTTTTCAATTTTTTATAAGTGATTTTTTTAAAGTAATTCAGCACTTATTTAGACTTTAGAGATTGAAATAATGGTGAAAAAATGTCCTGATGTTATATAACAGATAATTGTGTCTTGGGATGTCATTTTCCTGTGATAGCCTTTTATTATACAACAGCATATATGACGTTAGGTGCTGTATCTCATACAAGGTAGATGGAAGCGAAAATGATATAACCTGGAAACTCTGTTAAATGAACAATAACAATGAAGTTGCTGACATCCATGATGCACATAAAGGGTTGGAATAAATCTGTTTCGTGAAATTTGAGAGTGTAAAAAAGCATTATAGCTTTTTTCTAGCTCCAGCCCCAGGACACAGCAGCTGTCGCAATGTTGATGCCTAAGAAGAATGGACTGCCATTTACGAACTCCTTTTCAAGGAGAGGGTGATGGTGGCCAAAAAGGTGTTACATGAGTAAACACCCGGAGCTGGCAGACCAAAATGTGCCTAATCTTCACGTCATGAAGGCCATGTAGTCTCTCAAATCACGAGGCTAGGGAGAGAAACAGTTTGCCTGGAGACATTTCTACTGGTACCCTACCAACGAGGGAATCCAATACCTCCATGATTACCTCCACCTGCCCCCCCGAGATTGTGCCTGCCCCTTTGCGAGGCTCACAAGAGGGGAAGCTGACAGAAACACAGACAGAGCACTGTGCCTCCTGGTGCAGACAAGAAAGCCCAGGCCCGGGCTGGGTCAGCAACTGAATTCCAGTTTCGAGGCGGATTTGGTTGTGGATGTGGTCAACCACCTCAATAAAGTTGGAGGAATTATTTTATGTTGAATAAACTTGTGGCTGGCGGGGGGGAGGGGGGTGGGCATTATATATAAAATAATAAATTATTGCCCAAAATATGTAAGTATATGGGTAAATAAAAGAATAAATTAAGTACTATAAATAGGCATTTGACTATGATCAGTGGTTCTCAACAGGGTCTATTTTGCCCTCCTGGAGATATTTTTGGTTGTTGCAACTGGTGAGGAAAGGGAGCGGTGTCTGGGGCAGCTGGCAACCAGCCGGTAGAGGCCAGCTGCTAAACCTCCTATAAGGCACAAAACAGTCTTTACAGAAAAAATTTATTTGATTCTAAATGTGAATGGTGCTGAGATTGAGAAACTCTGGACTATATCCTCTA